ATATATATATGCCAATATAATACAGTGAGGAATATACAGACATCGAAATGTACTCGGACACCCACACCTCACACGAACGACATACGAAGTGATGCACATCACTTCATACCACTGACAACACAATGAGTCATACTGCCATCGATCAAGTAGAAACGACGATAGGGCACATAAGTTCTAAAAATAGACAATGTTCAACAAAAAGATACCTTTCTTTAAACAGATACCGTTCTGTAAATAGATACTGTTCTATAAAAAGATACCTTTCTATAAATAGATACCGTTCTATAAACAACCAATGGATGGATACCTTCGGGTCAGCCATCCGATCGAGCATCCGCTGAATATCTGCATTAACCCCATACGCATTATTGATACGGTCGAAGAAGGCGGCGAGAGCATCTGCTGCATTCTGATTGGTGGAGCTATAAATAGAACTGGTGGTCTCCTCCAATCCGATGAGTTGGTTTTGATCACCGATTGCTAGGCCTTCGCCGAACACACCGAAGTTACAGCTGATGTACGTATTGATCTGTGACGAAAGAAAACGTGCACAGCGTATTAGGCATGGACGCGTACACAAATGGATGACGAGAAAACGCGAAACCAGAATTAACGTATAGCTAGTAGTATTGCGTTAAGGCTCTCTTCTGGCAAATATCAAATGAAAAAACTTGAACGAGGATAATAAAGGTAGCGGTAGTCAAGCTAGAAAAGATAGCCTTAGAACACATTGGGTAGTTAAGCTAGAAAAGACAGCCCTATAACACATTGATTACCATAGCAGAGGCGAATGCAACACTGTACGTATGTAAGTGTATAGTTACATACTCTCACACCAACACATGCATGCGAGCACAGATACATACTCCCAATGGAAAGCCTATAACCACACATTGATACGTGCTACATACTACGAGTCTTATGACAAATGAAACAGAGTGTGTGTATGTGTCTAGTAATATACTCTCAAACCAACACATGCATGCAAGCACAGACACATACCCCCAATGGAAAGCCTATGATCACACATTGTTACGTGCTACACACTAAGAGTCGTATGACAAATGAAACAGCGTGTGTGTATGTGTCTAGTAATATACTCTCACGCCAAAACATGCATGCAAGTACAGACACCCATTTCCAATGGAAAGCTTATGACCATACATTGATACGTGCTACATACTAAGAGTCATGTGACAAATGAAACATCGTATAGAACGTCTAAATAAGTCTTATTCATCCGAAGTGCTCTACGTACAACAAACACCCAGGGTTATGCGCATATACCTATTAGCTCCGTGGGTTGTTACTTACCAACAGAACGCTCATTCGTACGTATAACTAATTCCGAACAGTGCCAGGGATATGCGCATATATCTAATAGCTCCATGGGCCTAATACCCCCATGAATTGTTACTTACTAATAGAACGTCCGAGTAAGCCTTAAGTCCGCCGCCATAGACCAGAGCGATGTTTCCAATGATGCTCGAACTCATTCTATAAATAGATAAACGAGGTTTCTATAAATAGATAAACGGGGGCTTGTATATATCGATAAACGGGGTTTCTATTGATAGATAAACGCGGTTTGTAGAAATAGATAAATGGAATTTGTATAAATAGATAAAGGGGATTATATAAATTTGTAATCGGCATTTTTGTAAATAGCTAAACACGATTTGTATAAATAGAAACTACTAGTGTATACCTTAACCTGAAATCATACAGCTTTGGCAAAGGTTCTTTCCAATGGCTGAAGCCTCTGTTCGTTGTAGCGGCAATTGACACATGTCAGACACACTGCACAACCCACGCAATAAACCGAGTTCAAAAACACTAATTACAAGGTCTATACAAACTAATAACCCACAAGATATCGCGCGCACAAACGTCAAATACAATTAGCTCTACCACACCCTAGAAAAACCAAGTTTACAGACACTTGATAAAAACTACAACAATACCTGTTTGCATATGAGTACTTCGCATGACCACGCCATCCACAGATACGGTGGCGCCTCAGTGTCAATACTGCCATGTACTGGGCAGAATAACACGTGTCAAAAACAGTATACCACCCACACCCTCCAAAAAAACCAAGTTTAAACTACAATTATCAAAACCTCAAACTAAATTCTGGGGAAACGGTTAACTCGCATGATCACTCTTCCCACAGACAGGATGGCGCCGCCATGGTGTTTGGCCATGTTTTCGGCAAGTTGACACGTATCAAAAACACTGTCAGTGTCACTCTGCAACAGATGGAAGGCCAACACGTTAGGGTTTGGGGTTAAATAGAACTTTAAGGGTTAAGAGTTTAATAGGACTTTTAGGGTTTAAGGTTTAATAGAATTTTAGGGTTTAGCCGCACTCTGCAACGAAAGCCCCGCTGACTGAAACACATAACAGCAGGATAACAACCAAATAGATATACTACACAGAAGTACAGCCTATATCTACACACAACCTCTAATAGTCTTCATACTACATCTGTGCTCATACACACCTCAAACAACCCACGACACGCATACAAACACAACCCAAAGCACACGACCATCCACGCGTGCAACATAGCACCACACACACCACTTCGCATACCATTAACGCCGTAGCCCTTGAAAACGTTGAGTTGCACACATACGCTCGATTGGCGGTAACGTCACCACCGTTCCAGGCCGTTCCGACAGGTGCGGCATGGTCTGAGTTTTTAGGGTTTTAGGGTTTTTTAATCGGTCTAAGCGAGGGGTTGGGGGCAGGTTATGCAGACACAGGGATAGTTTAGGGTATGTAGGGTTTTGGCTAAAACCCTACAGCAGTCGATGGGAAGGTTAGGAGTACTGTATAAACCCTACATTAAGACTGGTGGTCTGTACTACCATTGACATCGAACGGTGGAGCTACATACGAGGTATAGCGGTAGAATGGATCTGAACCCACCAGCACCCTAAAACCATAAGACCCTAAACCCTAAACCCTTACGGCCGCAAGCATGGTCTGAGGCTGTGGGGTGGATCCAAGTGCGATGATAACGGACAGTTTCGGTTTGGAGACTCACAAATGCATTTTTTTTTCTCTTTTGAATTCGAGTGGTGGCTGTTGGGGCGAACACTATATCAGAGTTCGATTATAGGGTTTTACGGGTTTAAAGTTTTAAGAAGTTCAAGGGTTTGGCAAAATTTTAACTGACCCAGCGCGGGGAGCATAGAGCCTGGTAGATATAGTGATTGGGGGCTTGGGTTTTAGGGTTTTAGGGTTTTCGATTTATTTGCCACAGGCGACGTCACCGTAATATGAACCGTATCGTCTGATACAGCGCAACAAACAAAAAGGGTGGTCGGAGTAGATTATATTTTTAGCTCAGAGGGTACTATTGTGCCGTGCAGATTATTGTGTGTATATTGACAGATTATGAGTTTATTTTCATAGGAAGGTCAAGCAGATCCGTTTGGACTTCAATTGATATCCCTCAGATACGCCGAATTGCTACTCGCCGGCTTAAAAAAATCAAAACCCTAAACCCTAAACCCCTAAGATAAAGCTGCTCAAACGCTGAAAACCCTAAAAAAGTAAACCAACACAATATTGTGGATTCAGATACAACACACTACAGATAGTAGCACTAGATCATTTGAGACTCAAGAGCGTAACGTCACATCATTTGCAGTGAATGAACGAAACGTAGCAACACACACACACACACAC